AGAGCCGCGCTTCGTTTTGAGCGCTTTTCATACAAAGTGGCCAAAGCGGAGCTGCCCGGGCAGAACTGGAGCGACACAACTCGGCCTCCACGCTTCCCTCCCCAGCACCCTTGGCCTCAGTTCTAGTATAGCTCACAGCACTCAACAGCAGTGCCCATTGCTCTGTTTCATCCATGTCTGCTCACAGCACACTGCAACAGATGCTTTGTGACTTCTCTACCCCTCACGCTATCCCAGGCTCAGACCTAAAGCCCAGTCTCAGTACGGCTTGACCGCTGAACCTGAGGTGGGTGCCATGCTGAGCTCTGGCTCCTGCAGTAACCACAAATGTGAGGCAGGTTGGGATTATGCTTTGCTGCAACAAAGGTTCACCCACCCCGAACGACACACCAGAACCAGGAGAGGAGATGTGGTAACTGAACACAGCAAAATCCTATTTTCCAATACAAGAATGGACACATGCTAAACAGAAAAGTTGAAGAAATATCAGGGAAAAGAGTGGTTTTCTGGAATGCTCATACATAGCACAAGGGTTTTGGTTTTTTGCGTTTTTTTTTTTTTTCTTTTTTTAAGTACTTGATTTCATTTAACATTTTAAGTTCTCTACAACTACCTGAAAGGAGGCTGTGGCAAGGTGGAGCTCAGTCTCTTCCCCAGATAACAAGAAGCAGGAGAAGAAGAAATGGCCTCAAGTTGCACCAGGGGAGGTTTAGATTGGATATTAGGAAAAATTTCTTTAGTTCAAGGGTGGTCAAGCACTGACACAGGCTGCCCAGAGATGTGGGGGAATCACCATCCCTGGAAGTGTTAAAAAAATGCATGGATGTGGCACTTGGGGACATGGTTTAGTGGTAAATATGCCAGTGCTGGTTTAACGGTTGGACTCTGTGATCTTATGAGGTCTTTTCCAACCTTAACAATGCTATGATCTTTTCTTACTTGAATGTTTTGTAACATTTTCTTTCCGTGTCTTTTCCATAAGTAAAACCAAGTTGCTGCATGCACGCTTTGCTTTTTATGGCCCATGGCACAACATACATAATTTTTCAAGGACTACTGAGAAAAGCTAACTTAAAATTTGTACTACACACAAATCAGCATTTCCTGAAGGGATATGGTTTAGTGATGAAACATGGAGTGCTGGGTTAACAGTTGGACTTGATGATCTTAGAGGTCTTTTCCAACCTTCATGATTCTATCTTTTGCTCGTTGAACTGTAAGTAGTATTTTTTCTTTCCAAATCTTCTCTGTATGTAGCAAACTGAGTTGCTGCATACATCTTAGGCTTTTATGACCCACAGCAAAACACATGTTATTTTTGAAGGACTACTGAGAAAAGAGAACTTAAAATTTGTACTACACACAAATTTGCTTCTCCCGAGATGTGTACTTGGGAATGCATCTTATTTCTGCTCTACAAAAAACCTTCTTGGAATAGGAAAGAAAATTTTTAGGAAATCAACATACCAAGATGATATTAGCCATCAGTTTCTGCAGTATGTGGAAGTCAGTGTTGCTAGTGTTACACAAAGGAAGAAAATTGCAGTGACTTTGGCTGAAAGAAGTTCTATGGCAGATGTTTGACATTAATTAAAGTTATAAATTCATAGAAATTATGTATTTAGCTCCTCACCATGGCATGAATTAAGACATCTATGCTTTAGGGTCAGCAATGAATGAAACGATAATCAAAGCTGTAATTTTGAAGTTTTTTCCCACTCTAAGCCAGATCAGCCACAAGACTAAATACAAATGAAGAATCTGCATATTTCTCGAGTGGGAAGCCTGAACATCAGAAAACAACCTTCTCATCTCACTATTAAGCATAATTGACTACAAAGGGTAAAAAAAGTCTAAATAAACCGTGTATGAGCTGCTGCTGCTGGCTGACATCAGCGTGCATTAGCTGAGGTTACCAAACATTCCTCTGGGGAACAACAGCAGTCTTTCTCCAGTTTTTAATGTCTTTTCACTTCATCTAAAAATACAGTGCTTGTCCCTAAGTAGGAGAAAGTAATTAAGAATTCTATAAAAGTTTAAATTTATTTGAGAATACCATTCTATGAAACAGGTTTTAGAAGAGATTGTGTTTAAAAAAACATTTTCAAATCTCACTTATTTCTGGTTGCTTTATTTCACTTCATGGCAATCAAATAACTTTTCTTACAAATTGTTTAATGTTTTAGATCAAATAATTTGAGTCTGATTAATCAAGTAACTTGATTAAGTCAGTGTTTAAGTAAAACACTTTTAAATTGAAGTTATTCACTAAGGAAAAAAAAGTTCCAACATGCAATTTTCATCCTCAAAGTGAATTTTAAAACAATTGTCACAGATAAGTTATCTATGTAAGCCTGAGCAACCAAAATAGTTTATTATTCCTTTGCACTAACAAGGTAAGTCACTAGAGTCCTAGATCAGAAAAAGATTACATATACCAGATATGACTGCTAATTGTTGCTTCAAAAGTAGCAAACATGGCACTGTTCTATTTGGCAAAAATAAACCCTTTCAATATGTGTGTGCTCCTAGGGATAAGTTAAGCAACAATTTACATAATATTCTTTTCAAGGAGAGTTCTACAAATATGTGACACAATGTATTTTCTACCAAGGCAGGCTTCCTTTAAGGATAGACAGCATTTATTTTCTAAATGTGGGCTAAGTGTGTTTATTTTCCAAAACTTGTATTTCAGTGTCAGAAAACAACATCTTTCTTCTTCTTCCCTTAACTGAATCACACAGCTATGACTGAAAGGAAAGGGCATTGTGCTGGCTATTAAATCCTTACGGTTTCTTAACAGAACGCCTGTAATAACATGGGAAAACTTGCACCAATATACTTAAAAGAGCTTGAACAATTCTGAGTGCATAATAGCACACCAGCTCCACTCAGCTGAAGTTAATATAAGTGCGGAACATGCATCATCTCTTCACTCCTACACGCACCGTTTCCATAAGATGATGTGTGTGGCTGGCCTGGACTGAAGGAGGAGAAGAGGGGTTTCCTGACAGTCAGTAAGTAGCACTGTGTACCTGTGGCCAAGCCATGCTCCTCCACGCAAAGGTGGCGAGGCTCTGGCAGGGCTGCACAAGTTAGAAAATACAGCATTATTTTCCCACGGAGCTTGAACTAATACACAGAGATTGTACAGCAAAGGCAGTGATGCAGACGTTGAGGCATTGCAGAGACAAAGCACTGTGTGGTCTGCAGGGCTTATCAGCCCCATGTCACGACCTTGCTGACAAGTCAGCCAAGTTCGTACCTCACTCCTTGTATCCAAGTTATACAGGTTCTGTCAAGGAAAAGGATATTCCAGCAGCTTGTAGATCCCTTTACTTCCTATGCTCCTCAAGATGGTCACCAATGCCTGTGCCAAAGCACGCTCTTACAAGGTGGTCTCTGGAAGACTGCTGCACTGTACAGGTTAGGTGAGATGGTATTTCTGCAGTACAGTCTTTCAAAATTTCAGTCTAGCAAGGGACCACACAATAAGCAGACGCAGTTCGGCATCAGAACTGGTGTATTGCTCTTTCTTTGGCATCTCAATACAGTGTTCACTAAAATATACCATCTTATATATTAATAAACCAGAAATTAACACAAAAATAAAACAAAATAGAAGGAATCTTTACCCTGCAGAACAACTGACTTGAAGACTATGTAGAAGATGCTGAACAAAATTACCATTGCCAAAATAGTAAGAATTCTTAAGTTTTTACGTAACATTCAAGATGTATTTTTCCAGTGTGCCCATGAAAAATCCCACCCCAAATTTACTATTCTAACCTTGTTATCCTTTGTCACGCATTTGTCTAATGAGTTCTCACACTTAATGAGGAGCTTCCGTTCTGAAGGGATTTTGCAATGAACAATTGCACAAAAAGAGAGCCCGTCCATTTATTACTTTAAGTCTACTGAACATTGAAGAGCATATAAGGCGTGACTATTTCCCTAAAGTGGACAAGTGATGTAGCTAGTTTAACAGCTTTGAACTATGCTTCATTTCTTTCCTCACCCTCCTCCCTCCCCTAAAAGGGCCTTAGCTGTATTAACTATGGCTTACTTGAAATTTAATCATCGAGTCACCTTCAGCATAAAATATGCAATATCCCAATTCAATTGTGACAACTTTTATTTGATTTTTCTGATATTATCAAGAAGACAGTGCAGCTGGTTTGATTACTAAAGCCTTTGATTTTTATTTAAAAGCAAGTTTCAGGGCCTTGCTAATGAGCAGGGCAACATAAAGCAAGTCTTAACGATACTGCATTTTATTGGGGTGAAAAAATGTTCAAAAATAGAAGCTGATTAGTGTTGTTCTTCTCCCTTGCTTTTCCAGCCATCTCACTTACAGAAAACAGACTAGTGTTGTTAATGGACTCTCCAGGTAACATGTTTTAGAGAGATGTTCGTAAGTGATAAGACAGACTCTCAGGCCTCTTTCTTTTCTATGAAGAAGGAAAACTCTGCCAGACTGCTTCTGGCACAACCCCATTCATTTTTCCTGCAATGACAATTGACAGAGAACGAGAGCACACTCTGGGACACGGAGGGTTCAGTTTCCTTTGGCAGCGGGTTTGACTGGAAGCAAACCTAAATTATTCCACTTCTAAGGAACAAATAAGGAATATTTTTCTGGAATGTAAAAAACATGCACGTTAACTAAAATCAACCTTCACAAGAATCCTAAAGCATAAGATTGCTTAGCCAAAAAATCCCAAACGAACTCAAAACAAAACCAACAAAATAGACACAAAACAACTGCAATGCTACTAATTCATGTATAAAAACTGGTCAACAGCACCTTAAGATCTAGTGGGTGAGGTGAGAAGGATGGTACAGGGGAAGAGTATCACACAGCATTCAGTAATGCCACCTGACAAATTTACAATAGATATTCCTAAAGGGGAGAAAAGTATATGGCCATCACGGCTACCTTAAAATCTATAGTCTGTTTCTGTTCTTGTTAAACAAAAATTCATTACAACAATTATTAGTTTTCTATAATTTATTTCAGTTAGGTGAGATACTTCACATTGCTCTATTCATCTGTGTGTGCCCTCCACAGTCCTACCATTTGAACTAGTTAGTGTGCCTTTTCCGGGGCAAAAATCCTCATTGTTTTTCCACATATACAAATAGCAAACATTGGTTTCACTAAACCTTTTTGACAATTTATTAACATTATTAGGCTTGAGAAACAAAGTGAAGTTTTATTCAAAATGTAAACATTAAGATAATTTTAAAATGTTAGTGCTCACCAACAGGAAGAACAGTCCTTTTTCTGCTTTTTTTCTTCCATATATTTATTTATAAATAATGCACTGAAAAAATGTCTTTGTCATTTGAGTCACCTGAAGAAGTTCTTATAATATTCTTGCACCATTATAAATAAAAGATGGAGATAGCCTCATATTCCAAGTTTTCACCCATTAACATACCATATACGCAGAATGTTATCTGTGAATGATACAAACAATAATCCTGCTCTGAACTAGCTCATCATTATTATGATGAAACATCACAGACAGTAATTTCTGAAAATTTGAAGGGGGTGGAAGGGAAAAAACCCACCACATAGAAATCTTGCACAAAATGCATGCTTGTATATAAATACCCAAAGTTGCTGTAGGAACAAGCAGCAAAATATAGCAAGGACAAATGCAAAGTTTATTCCACGTATGCTACAATTAATCAACACATTAGGGAAGTATCAAAATTTGTACTATTAACATATGGCAACAGTTTATTGTTACAATACATTGCAATAGTCTCACTGAAAAAGGCTTTTAAGCTGCAGACAGTGCAATTGCATTAAATCTTAATTCTTCTGGGTCACGTTCCATGAACTTCTTGCAAACTTCTATTGCATCCTAGGGAAAAAAGTACAAATGGAAAAAATACAAAATGAAAACCAATATAAATCATATTAATTTAAAAAAAACCCCACGAAAACTGAAATATGAAGATATGCTTTATACAAACTATGCTCAAAATGGACTTTTCCATGAAGGTTTACTAAACAGTGTCACAAATCTATATAAATGGTATTTCTGAGGTGAGTTACCACTATTCAAGATTATTTTCAGTGCTCATATGGGCAGCCTAAACAAGCAAAAGTTTTATGTAGAACCTTAGAAACAATTTTTGTGACTGAATATTACTTTGTGCAACAGATGTGTTGCTTGTCTTTCTAAATGCATTTCTGAAGTTTGCCTTGACTAGTACTCTGCACTCAGAAATTTTTCCTTTGTTTCAAGATGAATCTAAGCTCTGTGGGGTAATTGAAAGATCTTAAGTAATTCCTTCATCTAGCTTTAGGGTGCAATCTGGAGAACACATGTTATCAGTAAACCAGAAAAAAGTTACATATGAAATAAGGAAAGCTTTATCCAACTTCTCCCCCTGTCCAAACACAAATTGTATGCAAACTTTACAGACATTAGTCTATGCTACTAAACTATAAAATTGTTTTGGTTTTTGTTTGTTTTTAGTTTTTCTGGGTTTTTGTAATACTAATCTAGTCTGGATACCATAATAGTCAGATCTATGCATTGCCTTCTCTCAACTTCAACTTCGTATCATGCTGTGGGAATGACAGTTATCCTCCCAACTGAGTGTATCCCTTTCCAATTAATTTCTCAACTGAACAGCTCCTGACAAAATAAGCACTCAAAAGAAGCTGTGAAACTAGAGAATGATTATTAGCAAGACTCAGAAAGGAAATCAACTTCTGTCTAGTATGACACCTATCAAACTATAACTAAAGCAAAGGAAAGAGAATGAAAAATTTTAAGTTTTCAATCTGATAACTTTGTCTTGTGTACTTGAAAGGAGCAGGGGTATATGCAAATCTCAGCACAGAAGACAAGTCAGTCTGAATTTCTGTTATAATCAACCTTTCTGACATTTCTTATGTTATGATACTCTGTCATCCAGAGTTACAACATGAGTGTTCCAAAATATCTGGTTTTAGAACTGAGTAAAACTAATTTTGTCTTACCATCCCACTTGCTCTATTTCTCATCCAACCATAAATACAGCAAGACTTGTATAAGTATTTTCATATGTGTGTATTGTATAAATTTTGTGGAAATACAGCAGGAATTTTGTATAACCCCATTTAAGAAGGTTCTCTATTCCTACCTCTAAAAAGGAATCGTCACTGGTTTCCCCATGGTTTATTGGAAATGGCTTGCGCCCATCTGTTGAAAGACAAAGCATGACTGAACAGCACATTTATAAGATTATAAAAGCTTAATTTTTCCAGTTAAAACTATTTGAACACATTTTTTTTGTACTTCACTTTCAAAAATGCTATCCTTATTTTTCATAAAGGTATCACACATGCTAGCTTTTCCCTTGTCTCTCCTCCACTCCTGACTGCTTCAACCAGTATCATTATGTACAGTCTGTTACATTAAAAAAATAATCCAAACTATGACATATTTTTAAATATTTTATTTGAAAACTTCAAGGCTGTAAGATGCTATTGTTTTACTGCTGGTGTAGTACTTCAGTTTTTCCAGTAGAGTAGAAAAATTTCAACTATGCTTGATGGATTTACTCAGACAGACAGCTGTACATCTGTGGTCTTTGACAGCTGTGATCAGGGACTCTGTGACAGAACCCAGTAACAAACCTACCAGTTTGAAGAGTCTGGCATATCTGAAATGTTTCTCTCATTTAAAATAAATTAGCAAACAAGCCCAGTAGCCACAAGTATTATGTACTTTCATAGCATTTAAAAAGGGTTGCTATAGTTATTTTTTTTCTCCCATTTGCAATATAATAATGCTATCATTATCATCATTTGAAAAATAATTTCATTCATAGAAATATGTTTAAGGTTACTTTCAAAGAGTTAACAGTATGAAAACATATGTCAGGGTATCCTCAGTATTTGCTAGACCAAAATGCCTTTTGGTTCTGTCCTCCCTGTAAAAGACCTTTCCCTCTCCAAAGATGCCATCAAAGTTGACAATACTTCCAAACTCCAAACTTTTGGATTTGCATGAGCAAGAGATCGTTCACTATTGTAACAACAATGACTGAAGATGCAACAATGCAAAACCCTCAGAAAATGCCAGGGAAACAGAAATGAATGCTCTGAACTGCTGCAAGTTAAGTTTGATTCAATTCTTGGGGTTTTTTACATACATCTTGGCAGAACAGCATTTTAAGTTCATGTGACTATAAATAACGTGTTTTCTATGGCAAAAACATCGCAAGCATTTAGCATCCATGTGCTTCCTTAGCATTTTCTGCCTTCCAGAGCCCACATGCTGCCCACAGTGACTGAAGCCAGTGAATCAATTGAAAAACCTTCTCCAATTTTCCTACTTTTAAGTTTGTTTTTTTTTTGCTTCCTTCCGCTGGTACAGAAAGAAGTTATTTTAAGAACAAAAAAATAGTACTACTGGCGTTCCACTGTACAGCAGAGCTAAATGCCTCTTCTATTTTTTTTAATTTTAAGAAAAAAATTCAAATTGATTTTATCTTGCATCATACCTACAGAAAATAGCTAAACATGGTCATCATAGTATGTAGTTTGCATTTTAAGCAGAGTAAATTAATAGGCAATGAAAACATATTATGGATATAGCACACTGCTGAAAGAAGAGCAAGCCATTCACCATGCCTTGGAATTTAGTCATAAAACATTTATATTGTATCCTACAGTACTTACCTTTTTGATCTAGTTCACTGACAGACACACAGGATCATAAAATACAGAAATGTTTGCCTATTGTTCATAACTAATCCCTCATAATACCCCTTAGATCAACTTAATATTAACATAAGCACTTCTGATATACCACTTATGCCCCAGACTGTGATTAGTTAAGGGCATTGCTTAATTACATGTTGATTTTCAAATGATGAAAATGTTATAACCATAAAATACTGCAAAACTTATGATAGGAAAGACCAGCGACTTGCAGTTTTTAAATGCTGATCTACTTGCTGGTTTTCTGAAGAGCCTGCAGCAAAACTGAGTTGCCCAGCAACATATTTAAGATTGGAGTCATTAGAGAATATCAGAGCAGAACTGAAGTGCTACACAATCTGAAGGGGGGAAAAAAGCTGTAATTCAGCAAATAAAGACTACTGTTCTACAGTGAATGGCCTAATGACCACAAAAAAGTAGAGGGAAACAAATGACCAGCCTATTACAAATGAGTTGCAGAGTATTAATATCTGTTGGTACCCTGACTACACACTTTTGGTTTAAACTGTATCATGCTACTTAATAGTACAGCTAACACTTCTAAAGCAGCATACAGTTAATTTAATACAAGCAATGTAGGGACATAAATATAACTAGTTTCCTCTGAAATTTTGAGTGTTCAATTTTTTCTTGCTTCCTGTCCTTATAAATGATAACAGAAGTTTTAAGGCAGTCTAGTATTCTGTACCATTTTATCTTAATAGGAGGGAGTTGAGGGAAAGAGAACCAAAAAGAAAAAAAATAAGGGGAAGAAGGCTGCAATTGTTTGACAGAAACCCCCAGACCCTAAGATGCAGCTGAAAAGAAATCTCTCCTAAACCTTGACAGTTAACAGCATCACTATTTGCATTTGTTTCAAACAAATGGAGAGGGCAGATAAAAAGGTGTTCTTACCCAATTCATAGAGATGACCACCTACATTAACTAAGGCAATAAAGTGAAGATCTACTTTTTCATCTATACTTGGTGCCTGCAAGACAAAACAAGAAAAAAAGAAATTGTGTTCACTAAAACTCTTATCACAATATGGTTAATGAGCACATATCATCATAATATGCACAACACTTGGACGAGAGAAATCACAAGTGAGTCTGGATCTATACAGAATGGCAAAAGTCAGTGCAGATCATTTTGGAATATGAAGAAGCTGCCTGCAATGCACAGACCAGTAAGAACACATGCAGTAAAGTATCTGGAATTATTTACAATTATAGCTCTACACAAAAGCTTTATTTTTCATTACTGAATTAAAAGTAGAGTCAGCTCAAATACATTAACATCAAAAATAGATATTCATATAAATAGAAACTCCTTCACTAACCCATCTCCCACAATAAAGTGATGCAGGGCTCAACTCTGAAACCTGTAATATTTTAGAACTGAAAATATTCACTTGGTCAAAATATTTTTTTCCTCATAAGCCAAGCACAGTTGAGTTAACCTGTTCCCTCTTCACAAGCAATCAAAAGAAACAGCTTACACATCTTAGATGGGGGAGGAAAGAAAACAGCCAGAGGTGCCTAGACTGAATTTTGAAAAAGGCATCATAGTAACTGTACCCGGAGAGGACTGAAGTGTATAACGGCATGAAGGGGCATAACATAAAAAATGATTACAGTTGGTAAAGATCTATCTAACCCAGTACTGCACTGCCAACCACAGCAAGCAAAACTTTTTTCAGAAGAACACTGGGCATGCACAGCATAGTGCTCCACCAACACACATTCCCAGCATCCACTGAGCAGTGTTTTTTGAACTTCTGAGCCAAAAGGAGCATCACCACTGTTGTGTTCAATAGCAATTGATGGTGTTAATTCCTCATCATTCTGTCCAGTCTGCATCTGAACTTCAATCCACAATTTTAAGTGGTACTGTTTTGAGCAAATGGGAAAAAGCACCTCAGTTTTTCTTCACTATCAAGAATTTGACTTGTGTGAAAATACATTTCATGCCATTTTCTTTCATCTTGTAATTACTGCTAAAGATCCTTAAAAGATCCCAAAAGTGTAAAAATTTGCCGGAAACAGATTAGAGTGTAAAATGTGTTGTAGAATCTTACGGTTGCAACATCTTTTCAAGACTGGGTTAAAGGTTCCTTTTTCCTGAGGTCGTAAGAAAAGACTTAAAAAGATACTATAAACTGAAGAAATTTAGCAAACAACCAAAACAATAAAGCAAAGGACAAGAAGTCACCATAAGTCCTTTAATACATCAAGAAGGGCAAGGAACACAACATTAAGGAGGAACTGCCATCAGCTTACAAAATTTCTATGTAGCAAGCTCTAAATGAGAGAAAAATAAAAATAAAACGAAACCCCACACAATCTCCCCTCACTCTCATTTGAGAGTTACCTCCATGACCAGCTGAAGTGTGAAAGGCCCAAATACCCTGTTTCATCACTGCTTCAGAGAGCCTAAAATGGAGAAAGAACATTCCAGCCACTGAAGATGAGGCAGCTATCAAAGGGACAAGAGGACCTTCCCACCAGAACTCCAAGCAGTCTAAGTGAAATGGCCTTTGATAATTTTGTTTTACAAAGGCCAAACAGAGCCAGGGCTTAGGAAAAACAAGAACTTGGATACCCCAGTTGCAAACTTCAAAGCACAACAGGTTTTCTAACTTCCTGAAAACCACACAAGACAGTAGCCAACAACCAATGGAATCTTGCTGTTACTCCCACTGATCAACCAACTTTTTAAAGACATCTAAACTGTGGTGCTACAAAAATGTGCAGACAGGCAAAGCTGAGCATCCTTGTAAAATCCCACATTGTCATCTAATTCCCTTCGTAGGCATATGAATTCACAGATGTTCACTTATCCATTAAACCTACCAACTCAAAAATCTAGGCTTAAGGAATTTCAGGGTTAGGGGAATACCACCTCAGTTAGTCTCACTTTAGGAAGGAAATGGCTTAGCATTTAAAAGCTGAATGTACTCTACCTGGGCTCAAAGTGACATGAAGTAGAAGAGCACAAAGTATCGCTATTTCAGAGGACTTTGACATGTTAGGATTTGATTTTGATCACATTTAGGCCAAGATATAGTTGCCCCTTTGACCATTTTGAGGGTAGGTTCTCTGTCAAATTCTAATAAACGCCCTTTCTATAGAGAGACACAATTGGCATGCTTGGAATGTTGAGCCTGTATACAGAAAGAAGACAGACAGCGAAGCCATCAAAAAAAAGCATGATTAACTTTTCATAGAGTTTAGAGACAGAATCCTATAGAATCCTGCTGAGTTTTTGTACATGACTAATCTAAATAACATGCTTTCATTTTGCGACTGACACAACCCGTGAGAAATGTTGTGTTTTTACATTTTTAATTCCCCAGCCTCAGAGAGAGAATGAAAGTACCATGCCATCATTAAAGTTTCTACCATCTGTTCTAATGTAGGCATGCTCCTTCCCTTGTGATTTCTTTTCATCTAGTCTAGATGGTAGTAAAGTAGATCTTTTACATTTCTTGAAAAATTAGGATTTCAGTACTTTTGACAGAGAATTATTTGCATAATCATAAGCACAGAGAGCCTGAACAGTCATGATGACCTAAAACTTTATATTATAAAAATCTGTTGCTTATAACTTAGGTAAACAAGTAACTGGATTAAACTTTCCTAATGTGATCAATTTGATTCAAAATCCCCCCACCTCTCCCTTCCTTAGAGATAAAAACCTAAACATATGTGTGCATGTGCACACAGACACACACACCTGCCACACGAAAAGAAGCCTAGTCAGGCCAATTTTTACTTAACTAAGAGGCTCTGGAAATCCTAACACTTGAACCAGAAGATTTTAAATTTCAAAGCAATGGAAAAAAGAGGGAATGTCAGTTCCAGGGAGATGTCTTTTATGGTCTCCTTGAAAAGCTACACCTTTGGCCAAGTTTTCAAGTTCCTAATAAAAACTGTGTGAGTGCTTAAGAGAACATATCTTTAAGAAGTCTGCTGCGTGTTCATCACTACATAGTATTTTTTAGAACAGTTACAGAGGATTTTCTCTTGACTGTTCTTCTACTCAAAGACCTCAGTAACACAAACATCAGTCAGCTGTTGCAATGACCTATTCCTCTGGATTTTTTCACTTAGAAGTCCACTTAGTGTGCAAAAGGAGACAGCAGATTTGAAGGACTGCATGTATGTATTAACCACAAAGAAAGAGAAAGACACAGGAGTCTAAATAAGATGATTGTCTAATCAGGATTTGGAACTAACCTGTGGGATTCAAGACTCATTTTTCAAGTCTTCTGAAGTGCCGTAGCACACAGTGAAGAAAATTCATATTTTTTTTTCCCATCCAGAAAAGACAGAAAGAGGACAAGTACCAGCATCTTGGACAGCTTACAGAAACCTTTGTTATGGTTGCAACCTTAGTATAAGAAATAAGTTTGATAGTATGAGTTAGTAGACATCACTTTTCCAATTTACTTCTTCAAAAGAAAATCCATCCTGAAAAATAAAGACCAGAAGCCTTGAAAGTGATTTAAAGAAGAAAAATACAGAAAGTTTAGCACTCAAAGTGATGGTTCTGAGAACATCATCTCAACTGTAATTTTTATTCAAGTAACTGAGGTAATGCTCAATGAAAATATTAGAGCATATCTTCATGAATACCCAGCCTCACATACAAAAGTGACAGCCAAGGCTGTCGTGCCCTCTAATTTTGTATGCCACATTAAAAGCACTTAAATGACCGAGTCCCAGTTTTTCAGAGGATTTGACTGCCTTCTCTGCTAACCTATACATTCAAATTGAATAATAAACAATTGCTGACTGCTGTGAGAAGTCAATTTTAATTGACTTGTCTCAGGTCAATACTCGTTAGTTGATGCTATTGAAACAGAACATCTACATTCCTTCCTCTATTCTTCACTAGCAATTTCAAATTGGTAATTACAATGGTACTTTCCAAAGTTTTTACTATACAAACAGTAATCCTTCCTACTCCTTCTTGTACTGAGAAATTCCTTTAATTTTACCTTTCACTACTGCATGAAACTCTCCTCATGAACTAAACCAGTCTTCTTTCCAGTTGTTGCACTAAACTTCAGAAACTCAATGGTGCACCCCATATCACTGTTTGCTTAATCATATCAACCTGTCCAATCAAGTATAATTCTTCAAACTTATATTGGTAATGCACTTAGACCATTATCCCAATCTAAAAGAAAATATTCAATTTTCATACATTTGAAATCCTTTGTTCTTCAAATGTTGCTAAGTTAAAACAAAACTGTTTCTTTTTCCTAAAGCTGCATTTCTGGGACAAACTCACAATTGGAAAAAAAAAATTGTCTTCCTCTCAGGGATCTACTGAACAAGCCTCACCACATCCTGCTTAAAATTCATGAAAGACCACACTATAAAAGCAGATTCAATGTTACATGACAGATTTCAGAAACTTCTTCCAACTAAATCTCGTACTTTTACTATTTCCTTACACTTGCTTTGGAGAGGAAGGCACAAAGCAAGAAGCCTCACAAACCAGTTTAGTAGAATGCTTTGCAATACAAGTAGTGACTGGGAAAGGAAAAAACCACCACTTGTTAAGTCAGGAAAATGGCATCAGGAATCTGTTGGGTTCTGGAAGAAGAGCACTAAAGACTGATATGGAAAAGACAGTTTTGCAGAACCTTGAGGAATAAAAAATTTCAGATACATCCAACTGAAAAATCATGACAAAAGTAATTGCAGTCTAAGAGAAGGAAAACCTTGGGAGTTTAAATATACAAATTGACTGACAAGGAGTTACAAGAAGCAAAAAAAAAAAAAAATCCAAAAATGAAGTTTACACAACGTATGGTTTAGATGGAAAAAATGATGCAATTGCTATTGGGTAGATTAGGTGCCTGTATTTTCCATTTTGCAGCATGGAACATGCTTGGGCAAATATACCATCTAAGACTGTGAAAGGCATTTGAATCTTGGTTGAAGTACTGCAATTAAAACAAAGACCACTGGAATG